CCCCCCCCCAACCCACTCTGCTCTGGAACAAGACAGGATAGACGTCTCTGGGAGCAATGTGGAGATGTGTGGAGAAACCTCTGCGGCACAGCCCTCACCCTGGACACCAACAGGACCCAGGACAGGACGCGGGCATTCTTTTCGGGGACAGTGATTAGCCCAGGAAAAGACAGACACACAAATACTAACATGTGGACCTCCCTCAAACACCCCCATCCTATCACATGGTCTCTATGCTACTCAGGCAAACAGTTTCCATTGGCTTTCCAGTGCCTCATACTACACACGATTTAGACAATAATTCTCCAGAGGCCAAACCAAACACAAGGGGATTCCTGGGATCACACTGATGACAAGTCCCGGGGTAACAGCTGCTCCACAGACCTAGAGAGAACCAGTCTTGAGGGGGGAGCAACAAAGGGGTTCATGGGTGGTGTCATCAAGACAAATAAGCTGGATGGGAAGATTATCTGATGTGCAGACAGTTGAGAGAATTTTAACATTTTTAGACCTCTTTGCAGTGAATTTGTGATAGGTACATAGAAAACAAAGCAACCAAAACAATCATCGAAGGTGACCTCAGAGAAAACACAAAAATCACCAGAAAGAAAACAGAATCATAGTGCATTATACGTCTCACCTCAAAGAGTATTCACATAATCCTCCGTGTGTGTGTGTGTGTGTGTGTGACTGTGTTACACAAAAATTATAACCATATTGGGCAGAGTGGAAAGGGGGAGGTGCAGGTACTAGTCAAAGCCACGTCGTCCTAGTTTAATCTTCCACAGGAATCTACAGATAATGCCCAAAAGTGAAAAATAAAAAAAATGGCAGGGAAAGCATTTCATTTAGAAACATGTAGGTAAAATATCATACGGCTATTTTAGGGTGGGAACCGGGCTGGGAAATAGCAGGGCAGGCAGTGACATTTTTTATTATAAGCCTCATAAATTATACTTGATTTCTAAACATTTCACTTTGGGAAGTTGTAGACAGACAAAAGGGTTGCCCCAACGGTACAGAGTGTTCTCATTCATCCAGGCCCTAGGTTCCTCCACTGGGTGAGCCTCCAACTTGGCCCTTGTGTTTCAAAAGAGCTTTGCCAACCAGAACCATGGTCGAGATCTACAAAAACATTGCATTGGGCTTTTTACTGGAACTGAGTTGAATCCATAGGTCAAAGCTTAGACAACATCACGTTTTCCAATTCATAGTTTCTCTCTCATTTTATTTTGGTCTTGTTTGATTTCTTTCATAACATTTTGTAGTTTACAGCAAGCAGATCCTGCAGATCCTTTGTTAGATTTTAACTTAAATATTTCCATTCCTGGGAGTGTAATATCAATTGTGTTTTTTTAAAATTAGAATTCCAGTTGTTCATTGCAGGAACACAGAAATACAACTGAGTTTTACATATTGACCTTGTATCCGTAACATTGCTGAACTCATACTACTAGTTGTGGGAGCTTTTCTGTAGACCTGTTGACGTTTTCTCTGTAGACAATCACATTTCCTGTGCATGGACAGTTTCCTTTCTTCCTTCCCCTCTCTGTAGGCGTATATATTTTTTCTTGCCTTATTGCACTGGCTAGGACTTCCAGTACAATGTAGAAGAGGAACAGCGAGAGCATTAGAGCTGTATGAACCACTTTCTGAGGCA